AGTGGTGAAGCTTAAACTGGCAGAAGCAATGCTCACAAATCTGCTCACTGTATGCTTGTTTAGAAGTATGTTTCGGCCGTAAAACGGGGGGTTTTTTTGAGTTTTTCTCATTTATCAGATTTGTTATCAGTGTTCAGTTTTGTTTATTTACGTTGTTTGCGTCCCATTGGCCGTTCATTTCTATGCATTTTTAGCCAAAAAAGATGCGTTTCAGGCTTAGTGTAAATGAAGCTGAAACGAATTTGCAGTGTTTTCGTTTGCTAGCAAATAATGGCATTCCTGAAACGACGCGGATATAAATTTAATGTTGACTTGGAGCTGCTCCATCTCAGCGATGTGCCGCTCGTCAACGCTGTCCTCTTCGCCAAGGTTTGTGTGCTTTCGCTCAACACTCTTTTGTGTTTTTTCTCACAAAATATACTTTGCTCCAATTCCTAATAAATGGGCCTCTTCTTTTCCACCGTAATCGAACCATTGTATTAAAATACATGTCAGCCAGTTTTTTTTTATATCTACGCAAAATTTGAGATTCTTTAAGACTCGCATAGTTCAGATATACTGTCCATAAAATATATATTTCGCATGTATCTCCAGCGATTTATTCAGTAAATATTCAGAAAATGTATTAAATACATAGGTTATGGGCAGTATACGAATGGATTACGAGAATGAGAGAGAGATATATGTAATTTAAATTGTGTGTCAGCATACGCACATACACACATATACACGCATAATGAGCCACACACACACACACACGTACACACACATAATAAGCCGTTTGGTACATCATTCAGTGTTGATTTACTATTCACGTGTTTTAGATTAAATTAAGTAATATGAATAATTCAAAAGGAAAAATACCAATTAATCGATGGCATCTGATTGCTCATAAGTGGTGGAGCACAGGCAATGTCATATGTTTGAACAAATAAAGAAGGGGCGAGGGCGACGGGCCTGCTCCCACTGTACAAATGAATTACGCTTCGAAAAAAAAAAAGAGTGTAGGATGAGTGGAACTGAGAGCATAATGGCTATCAAAAATGCCGGGAAGGGCATTTGCGAACGGGGGACGAACCGAGTGGTGACAAGCCGAGTGTGTGGAAAAATTGGAAACAGGAGCTTATTTTGCCCAACGTGAAATGTCTCAAATTTAGCTTATTTTTTGTCTCCTAGTCCATAAACACTGGCAGTTCTAGCAGGCTGAAGAGAGGGAGAACTCATCGAAAAAACTGTTTCATGAATCCTTCATTTCTCTCTTTTTTTTTTTTTTTTTTTTTCGTTTTCTCTACGACAGATAATTTTGGCCATGGGAAATGTCTCAATTTAATCGTTTTGTAAGCCTTTAATCTCACTCGTTTCTTCCATCTTCTCTTCGGAGGATAATCCCGCTCTAGGCATGCAGCATGGATGCTTGTGTGTGTGTGTGTGTGTGTGTGTGTTCGTTTCGGCTTCTTTTCATTTCATTTATTTCCTTTTCCTTGCACAGTTTCCACCATATTGAACGCAATTTTAATTTTTTTTGTCATCCCAGTGCAAATCAAACTCAATTAAGAAGCACAAGATGGAATAAAAATTGAAAAACAGGGCTCAGCTTAGCTTAGGACATTACACAAAGTTCACAGCGTCAAGAATTGAAGCATGCTGATACTCAGCCCACACTGTTGGGTTTTAGTTTCCTCTTACTAGCATTAGTGACATGTAACTGACACAACATCCGAAACATTCCTGTTTAGCTGCTGAATTACAGTTCGATGCTTTTTTCTTAAATTTTAATAAAATACACCTTTAAACCACATATCGGAGGTTTCATTGCGAGTGCACTTGTATGGTAACTTATTGGTTAGTCATTTTTATGTGTTTTTCGCAGCTATGCAGTGCAAAAACGCATATTGTCGAGAGGTTTAGCTTTAAATTAAAAGAGGAAAAAATGATTTGCATCCGCAAGGAGCAGTATTGTCATTGTGTATTTCTTTCCCACAAAAAAACATTTGCATAGAAGTCGAGCAGTTTTTATCAAATGAATAATTTATCAATATAGACTGAACATAACTCAGCTAAAATTCCATGCCTGTTTTAGAAGTCGGACATACGGCTTACGGGATCTTACTCGATCGAGAGATGCCTATTCATTCCGTATTCAATATCTAGAAAAGACGGGGAGGGAGAGGGAGGGGAGGAGAAGTAGCTCGAATGGTACCACAACCTCTCAACAACAAGGCTGTCGATGACTCTCTCTTTCAAGGATTTCTTTAAAAAAAACAAGCCAATGGCGGATTGGATTGCCCGGCTTATATTACTTCATTTTTGCTATCGAAACAAGTAAATGATTGCTTATTCCACTGGTGGACTGGAACTCTGGGCCATCATGAGTGTAGCACTCCCTGCCCCACTGCGCCATCCCCATCCAGCAAGTAAAAATATATTCGATGCAGTTAATCTTTCTTTTTTTGCTGATCCACCTTTTTATTGATTGCAGGTTCGGCTACTGAACGGAGGAGCATTTGAGGGTATGACCGAACGTGTTGAAGTACATGGTCACTCAGCGAACTGGAATAGTCATTTCAGCTTCTCGTGCCGAATTGCTGTTGATCCTTCAACGGGCGTTCTCGAAAAATGTGCTTGTAGGATATCACTTCGGAAGGTATTGCCATCATCTCACTATCTTACATAAATTCCATAATCTCCGGTATTGCAAGCAGCTCCGTTTATTGCTTTTGAGAAAAGCTGTGTATCTTTTTTGAAAGGTTTTTCTTCCTCAGGATAAAGCAGTTGGGATGTACTTGTTTGGATCACCCAGTTTGGCTCTTCAGCTGTCTCTTCAGATGACAGATTCTCCAGTTAGCATAGCCAGTGGTGCATCTCAGTGTTGTGAGCTGCTTGCTTCTAATCTTAATGCTCGTTTCGTTTCTTGAAACATATATTAACAGCTTCGAATTGTCCTCGGTTTTTATTGAATCGCATCATTTCCTGACCAGTGCCACTTGTGGACCACAATGAGTCGTCTTACTAATTATACATTTTTCTCAGATAATTGATTGACTTTTAGTTTTTCTTAGCAATGAATTGTCGCGCTGTGCCACCGGCATTTATACGTAGTTATTATGACTGATGCGGGGGAGGGGGTGGGGGGG